CTTAAAAGTAAAAAATCAACTTAGCAAAGTATTTGCAAGACCTCTTGAAAATGGTTAGTAAATGAACTTCCTAGTATGGAAGAGTTGCATTGATTAGAAATCAAAGTATTGCTTTTTAATGGCAAATATGTCTTTTAGTATTTATTTTAAATGGTTAACAATGCATATTTAGTTAATACTTAGGAAGAAAATGTCAATGTTATTTATTAGGTTGATTGCCTACAGGAAACATATAGTATGCTTAGAAACATGCAGAATCTGAATTCAGGATATACTTAGAAAATATATTTTTTATTCGAGTAAAATATAAAATGCTTTCTTTCAAGCATTTAGTCAGAGGCAGACTGGAATATTTGTCTTGGCACAATTGGCAATTGGCAAATAATTGCAAAATATGATATTTTAAAAGAAAATAAAAGGTGCCCATAAGAAATAATGGAAATACATAGAAAAATTTTAGTGATCTATTTTAAGTCCCTTCAGTTAGTATTTTTCCATCCTAGGCCTATATGTCAATAGGCAGATGGATAATTTTCATTTCATTCATTTCATTTAAAATCCAAATTGCAAGGAAAACAGAATTTGCAGCAAAAAAATTCCTAACAATACTTCAAGCAACAGCCTAAAGTATCATTTATTTTAAATACCATTTTAATATTCTGCCCTAAGGTCCTGAATGAAAGACAAAATAGAATAATAGCAAGCAAATAAAGAAATAAATAAACAGGGCAAAACTCAAATAAATAAAATAATTTATCCACACATCTTTAGTTCAGTAGGGCAGGAAAGGATGTCTTGATACTTTCAGCTGAGAAAAAAAAACCTTGGCAACCAAAATCAAGATATATTATGCCCTATGAACAGCAGTTTGTATGCACACAGCAAAATCTTAGTAGCGTAATCAATCTTATGTCAATCTTTGCATTTTGGGAGTTCCACACCAATAGACACAGGAATTCAAGCTCAAAAACTATCCATAGCAGGCACAGGCAAGTCTTTTTAAGGCATTACATTTGGCAGCTGTGGACAGTCTGTGCATATTTTTATGTCTAGTTCATCTCAAAATTCTATAATCTGCTGTGAAACGAAGACACATTTCTTATTGAAAGGCTCCCTGAATCTCAGCATCCATGTGGTGCGCTCACATTCTGCATTCTCCCTACCTGGGAGATCTGTGTAAGCTTTTCCAGAGTGAGCCACCTTTCAGATGCTGCATCAAGAACTCAGAGATACACATGTGAGTCATGTCATTCTCCTTCTAATATGGGATTTTAATGACAGGAATAGTGACTCATCCCAGTTTTCCTGTCAACTGAGTCACTGGCAGGCTCTCAGTATTATCCAAGAGACTTCATGTCTAACTAAGGAACAATATCCACTTTTCTGAACATTGAAGGTTTATCTCCAATTGCTTGCAATAAGAATATGACTGCAATAAGAGCATGTCTGTTTTATTGTATTTCTTTCCTCACAAATAGCATAGAATGGAATTTTCTGGATAAGTCAAACCACCAGACTGCTTAGCATCTTGCTCAATGCTGGTCCATCTTTATTTAGAGCTGCGCTGGCTACCTGTTGATCGTCGGGTGCACTTCAAGGTCTTACTCACCACCTATAAAGCGCTCCATGGTAGTGGATCTGGCTATTTGAGAGACCGCCTCCTGCCAATTACCTCCCTGCGTCCCATCAGATCGCACAGAGTAGGCCTCCTCCGAATTCCATCCGCCAGTCAGTGCCGACTGGCGACTACGCGGAGGAGAGCCTTCTCAGTTGCAGCTCCGACATTATGGAACAACCTCCCCGTGGAGATCCGTACCCTCACCACAGTCCAGGCCTTCCGCACAGCCCTCAAGATCTGGCTATCCCGTCAGGCCTGGGGATAGGATTAGTCTCAAAAATTTTAGCAGGATGAACTACTAAATCTTTCTGAAAGAAACCTATCAGTGGTATGGACATTGAAAGTTTAGCTCCAATTGCTTGCAATAAGAACATGTCTGCAATAAGGGTGTTATCTGTTAATCAAAAATAAATGTTTAAAAAAAACCAAGGAGACTTTTTGGAAATGACATTGTTCTTCTGTTATACCTGGCATTTTTTATTATTAAAAATAGAACTGGAAAATGTTCAAGAAACTTCAAAGCCAAAAGCAAGAAAATACAATTTTTGGTAATATCTGTTCTTTAATTTCCCAGTACTTTTTATTTTCCTTCCTTCCTTCCTTCCTTCCTTCCTTCCTTCCTTCCTTCCTTCCTATTGCTGACTAAAAGTCACTGTAGGTTCCTGCAACTGTTTCAAGTCATTAAGTATGAATTGATTAAATTCAATTTGCATCACATGCCACTCTTAAATTTTCCTTGTTTGAGGAATTTCCAAGAGCTGAAACTGTTGTGAACAGAGAGTGCTAGGAGTTAAAATATCTGCTGCAAACTGCGCTGTAAGATTTTAGTTGCTACTTACTTATTCATAAGATGAGTCTGCCTACGTCAGTATAGCAACAAACAAGATAATAGCATTCCTATAATTCAGCTTGGAGGTCTCATTTGGTTTGCTCTTAATGTAAGTACTCTATGGCTTTAACTGATAACATTGCAATTAACAATGTAATTTCCTATCAATTGGAAGTAACTATTTTGTAAACTAGAATAGAGGTAGATCTGTGAGAAAATTAGAACTGTTTGGGTGAATGTAATGAGAGAAGGCAGTAGCTGTATTGATTTGAAACTGGATGCACTCTCCAGATTCTGCAGGCAAATAGGGTGCCTCGCCCTTATAAGATAGCTCTGCAGTTTTAAACCAGAAGCCGACATCATTGTGAAAGAAGATATGTTATATACATTTTGTAAGCAGCTGTTTGCTGAGCAATTAACTTGTAAGACTACTCTGCTTAATAACAGATTAAAAGTTGGTATTATTACAATTATTGTGTTATTGTTATTGAAAGTTTTAAAGAAACTTTTAAAGAAAAACTGGATGTTTCATATAGATATATTTGGTGATTTGACTGTACCAACTTTCCTTCCTTGTAAACCAAAATGATTTCTGCAAAGGTATCAAAGGTAAACCTCTGTCTGATTTATCAAGATAAATATCAGAAAGGAAGACATAATATATAAATGTCATAGTTAAATGTTCAATTTTTGTGATAAAAGGCTGTATACATACATGCTAATATTGTAAATATCATAAAATCGTAAAATATAAAATCATTTAAAAATCCCATATTGCTATATTGTATTAAGAATTGATCGTTTTCTTGCTTTATTTTCAGCAACTATGTGGGGTTTTGTTTCAAAAACTTTTTGTATGCATCAGCATGAAAGAGGTTTTATAAAGTATAAAGGTTGCCATTTCCAAAAAGCTCCCAGTACTACTGGGCAAGGAAAATAGAAATGGATTATCATGTGAATTTCAGAGAAGACTTTATAATTTCTTTCTAGACCCCAGATTAATTTATATAATCTTTTAAAATATCTCAAATAGGAACTACAAGGTTATATAAAGGGAGCTTTCAAAGATAAATGTGTATAGTATTTTTACTTATCTTTCCTTTATAGTAATACACAAGGTACTTGGGATATAACAGTCACATTTTCAGCAGTTATTACAGAAATAATACTGTTACAGCTTCACTACTTTTTAAAGTACTTACAAGTTTATAAATTACAGTTTTCAGCTTTGTTAAGTTAAATTAACAAATCTTATCATGGCAACTTCAGCAAACAAGCTGACTAATATTATATCTTAGTCTAATATGCCATCAAATTTGGTCAAATTCTAAGACAAAATTGTTATTCACAATTTATGCTTTTTAAAGGTCAACAAAGAGTTCATCTTAGATTTTCTATTCCCAAGGTATTGTTCCATATCAACATGAGGATGGCATCGTGTTTATGAACTAAATTTACTGGGCTAACGAACAAGCAAGCAACTCCTTTAATTGCTTCTGAGTTCAGTATGTGCTGTCCTATATACACAATTTAGTTTTAAATGTGAAGGTATAAGTCCTTTACCCTGTTCACAGGTAATTGGGATTTCCACGAAGTCTTTCTTTGTACAAGATCAAGATAATCTTGTTTGTACAATTGAGTTTTCAAGAAACATTAAAATATTTAATTTAATATTCTAATGTTATTTATTATGCAGGTATAAAAATGGACTTTTTAATACTGGTAACTCAGCAAATATAGAACCATGATTTTTCAAGATTTTTTTTAAAATACAATTTTAGGTTTCATGAAGTAAAATGTGAAAACAAAGTCTGGAGCAGCACTGCATTGTTAAAAGCAGATGAGAGATCATAGCTTTGAAAATGCATGATGTTTGTATTTTATTTTTGTCTTGGAAATAAAGCAAGATCAACTTTATACTTGGGCTGCAGTCAATCAACCCACTCATTCATCAGATTACACGGAAGGAAGATTTCCCAGGACAACTCCATCAGTCTGGTCAGCCGCAAAGCCTCCAGATGAAGAACAGAAAGTGCACCATATAAAGAAAGGTAAGTGGACACCAGTATATGGAAGTGATGGCAGTAACTACCAAATCTTTAAGCCTGTATTTAAAGTCAACATTTCTATTAATTGGGACTTTTATAAAAAGCAATGCTACCTCAAAAGTTCTTCCTGTGAAGAACAATATGAGGAAGGAATGCTGTGGATGCTGCTTTGAGCTTCTGGATGAAGGTAAGTTTTGTATTCACACACTCCAGAGCATACAATATATTTCACATGGCACTGTGAAATTCATTTCATATTATTCTTTTCCACTGAATAAACACTATTAATTTTGAAGCTTCAGCAAATCATTTTAGGGAGAAGGTTTAAGGGTCTTAATAGCAATTTGCCAATGTTCATTACTTTTTAAATACTTTCTGAGATAATTTGCAAAGCAAACAACACAACAAAATAAAAACGAGTATATTTGTCATTGTGGAATTGACAACCTATCAAGAAGTAGCAATCTATTGGTGGTTTGTTAATGGATGAGGGTGGAGCTGAGTCTCCCCAATCTCATTTCACTGCTCCAACTATTTGGCTCTTACTATTCATCAGCAATTGGCAACTGCATTTTATTTTTCTCCATTTTGATTTTATACTGATGTCCTGTTTGCCTCTAAAGCTGGTAAATTGCTTGAGGTTCAGTCAAAGGCAAAGGAGAAAAAAGAAATGATGAAGGAGAAAATGATGATTAAATGATGCAGATAAAGTTGAACATAACTTTTCAAAAATTATATTTTTAAAATAATATATCGGCAGCATCATGGGTAATGAATCTGAGGAAAATGATTTTGGCATTCTTTCTGCTTCCATTTGGAGGCATAAATGCATTTGAGACAACTATATATAACAATGATTTAGGTAGAGTCACTGAAATGAGTGCAGCTCAGAGCAGCAAACAGCAGGATTGAAAGTAATGACTTTATGCGTCAGGTTTTGTTTCCTTTTTTATGATATTTTTAGAGAAAAGTACTGGACTTTTTTATTTCCCCCTTTCCATCAAGTAGTGTTTTGTATCTGGACATCCCCATATATAATGGCCCTTAGAATATTTGAACCCAAAGATCCAAAAGGTTAACTATCTCTGATATGGAGGTCGAAACCATCTTATATACTATTACATTGTAAATTTTATAGAGACATTACATCAATCTATATTGTGCCCCTAATAGATAAATTTCCTAGGAAGCCAGGTAAATTTTACATAAACTTTCTCCTTTAGGATGTATATAAAACCATTCATTACGTGTGCAGTGTAATCACTAAATTTTAAGTGAATGTAGTAAAAGTAAGATACAGTTAAAGACTTGTACCTTTGTTTTAAATATTACTTTTGGCTTAATACATCTTAACTGATTGTTGGTGAATTAGTTTTTATTCTTACTTTATACCTGTTATTGTTTTAGATTTATCATCTGGGTGACAATAGTATTAACATAGCAATAGAGGAGTTAATGTTATGTTCTGTAATTTACTTTGCTAGTTGTTAGTACATTAATGTGTTTATTTGCTTCAGTCTAGTTTTGTTCTTTTAAATGTTGCTGATCATTGACCAAATAAATATCATTGATTGACATGACCTTTTCTATGGCAATTTATAGGAGCATCAAGCTGTTGCCATGGTGGTAAATCAATCAACACAGACAGATTACTGTATATTGGTCCAGCTTAATGGCTGTCGGAAGCTACAACTCACTAATGTGGCCCTGCTCCTGATCTTAGCTGAACTGTACTTCCCAGATACCTTCCATAACTCATCACATTCATTTTTTTCAAAGCCATCAGTAGCAAAGCTGCAGACATTGAAGTAATAGAAGAAAATCTCAGTTGATTAGCAACATGATTTTGTTTGGTTTGGTGTCGCTTCCATTGATTAAAAATGGAATGGTTTTTTTTGTAAGAACCAGCTGCTTCTTTTCTTTTCTTTTCTTTTCTTTTCTTTTCTTTTCTTTTTTTTTCCTGCCCATAGTCATTGTATGATATGGATAGCTGTATAAATTGTACATATAAATAAGTGTATTAAAGATAATCCCAGATAAAGGATCCTAAAAAGAACAATCCGTACTAATTTATTCAAAATATAAAATCTTACTTTGCAAAACAAAACTATTTTATTTATTCCCCTTAAACTTCACACTCCCGTGATAGTCTACATAGGCTTCCTATCTTCATTTGCTGAAATTACAGCAAATGACTTGTAAGAACAGTAAAAAAAACTTAAGGAAGAACTTTTTCTTGGGTTGAGGGAGAGAAAAGGATCACTGAAAAAGTTTCTCTACCTTGAGATAGGTTTCATTTTGACCAAGTAAGGTTCTGGCCTATAAAGACTTTCAACCTTCCACCTGAAGCTCACCTGAGACCTTTGTGTGTGTCAGTCT